ATTCCCTGTGTTTTTTGTTTTTGGGGAGCTAAGTTATTTTATCTCCCTTTGTATTCTTTTCCCTCTATTCTCTTAATTTAATGAAGTTGATGTTATTGATCCAAAAAAAAAAAAAAAATTTAACAAGCAACCACTTTTTTGATGGCAGATAGGAATCAACATATTACCAATATCCCACCTTGTGATTGTCGTATATTCCCATCTGACAACCACCCACTAGTCTAAAAGTGTATCTGCATGTGAGTGACTGCCCATTGTATTGCTACCCTAATCAGCAAGCTTATCCAAGTAAAATTTATAAATCATCAATCCAAAACAAAATTCAGGATATATTACTTGTTTTTTCCCCTCAGGAAGCTCGGCTTTCTCCACCCATGATATGGCTAGGCCCATATCATTTAAAACTGTCCCAAGTAGTGTCATTGCGTAGACCTCAACAAGTTCTAGGTATTGCTCGACTCTCAAGACACGATGCTGACATCTTTCAAGATTAGCCCCACTTTGATCTATACTTGACAGAACATAGTATTCTCCATTGACATATCTCCACTTGCCAAGGAACTCTTCAAGAAATTCCTTGAGTCCAGAAACAGAACCCTCTGATATCTGGAAGCAGGCCCTGCCAAATGAAAATCATGAAATAATTGAACCCAATTCCCTCAGGGCTTTCAGGCTATAAGATCATAAAATTACCTCCTAAATATAGGAAATACGTCAATGAAACTTATAAAATCAATGGTAGTCGACACTTGACCTAAACATGGAAAGTAATAGAGGATCATGCAAGGGAAGAATTAAAATACCCAGTCAGAACAACTTGAACGGGTATAGCTGCCACTGAACTGAAAAACAATTTAAGCTCCTTCAGCATTTCCGATGTCCTAAATGATTGAATAAACAAGTGCAATCAGAATTGAGTTTCATTTAGATGTTTACTTGAACAATATAGAGGTAAAAGAATTAACTTCCTTTGGTTTAGTCATTGAGGACTACATAAATGAAATGCTCAAGGTAGTTTGGAACTGATGAATCTCAGAGTGTGTTGTTATAAACCAATAATACAATGGCTCAGTAATCTGACATCTCAACCCAGTTCAAATTACAATAAAAGAAAAGGAAACCACTAAAATAAGAGAAATAAGGTACCTCCCCAATTCTTTGAGGGACTGAACCAACACCATACCAGCTGATTCAACCACGTCATCCAATTGGAACTCTTCAATTGAATCAGTGAAATCAGTATCATAGAGACACTTCAGAACAGAAGATGATGTGGATGCTGCCTCCTCAAACATAGAACATACAAGATAGCTGCACAGGAAAAAAAGTGAATGTATTGATAAATTATTTCAGCTATAAAAAGTGAGTTTGCACTCTCCACAGTGACTCCCAAGTACCAACATCATCTCAAGACCTGAAAAAAAAAAAAACAGATTGCACACAAAAACCAAGAAGAAAAAAGATTAAAAAAAAAAAAAACTTTTGTGGGCAAAGAAAATTAAGTAATAGGGAAAATAAGATTTAATAAACTTTTCCGCAGAAAATAAAATTCATAATTGTCATTGAATAACATGGCATCAAAGATGGCCAAAGATAAAAGATTACTTTGCTTCACATAGACAACATAAAAGAAACAATAGAGGCAAAACAGAACAAAGTACCATTAAGACAGTAAGTAAAAGGATTGTTTTACTTGGATACAAACATAGAAGAAGGACAATGTAGAAAATTAAGCAACAAGAGTATCGTATCAAACTTAAATTAGAAGAACTGGTAAGGATAATTCATTTTGGATACAAATTTGGAAGAAAAAAAAAACACAACTTCAAATTGGGAGAGTATGCAACATATACACATTAGAATATCACAAGCAAAAGAGTTTCTAACATATTCACATCATGAAATGCATACGGAGAGAGGGAAAGAGGAGATGGGCTTGTAATTATTACCTCTCTGAGCGTTCAATTTCTTCCCAAATTGCACAAACCGAGAGAGCTGGGGCCATTTCTCAAACTGCAAATCGCCCTCTTGGATTAAAGAAAGAAACTAGCGGAAGGGACCTGTGCTTAACCACTGGCCAAAAATTTTAAAAGTGTTAGGCTATATATAGAGGTATTCAAATTATGTATTCTAAATTTATAATTTCATTTAATTTGGAAATATTCTAGGCTCCATTCATTGATGTGATGAGAGTAAGAGGTAATACTTGTGGGTTCACTTGGTGAAAAACTTGTGTGATGCACAGGGAGGTAAAAATAAGTATATCATATTTGTGAATTTTTTCAGGCAAAAAGAAAAAAGAAATGATTTTTTATCCTCTTCAAAAAATATTTGATATATACAAAAGCTTACAGGACCTATACCTATTACATGATTTTTTATCCTCTACATATACATAAATAAAAATTCACAGCTTTTCCGGTAAATACAAATTCATTGATTCAAAGACAGGAGGCAAGTCTGAATACATAGCCTATAAATTACAAATTTGACTGATCATTTGGAAATGAGAACCTACACCCATCCTCACATTCATGACTTGCCAAAAATTGAGCATAAGCATTTCTTGATTGAAGTGTAAAATATGGCATTTAGAGACATAACAACTGCATCGTCCTTTCTCTTTATCTTTTCTTTTCTGGATTTTCCTTATATGGTGGACAACCACCAGTAAAAAACAGGGACAACCACTGGCAAAACAGTCAAAAACTGAGAATGTTACTGTCAAACATTTCATGAAAAGTAAAGCCTGAAGAACCAGCCTTAAACAATGGCTCCACATTCAAGAGGATTTGTAATGATGAGATGGCAGTCCAAAGACACCCTGGAAATGGAGAAAACATAATATTCTTTTAATAAAAATTTGAGGATTTACCATCCAAGAAGATAATTGTGCCTAAATGTCAAAAAGTGCAGTACAGTAGTTCCACTAAGAGATACATATTAACCATCAAAAGAGCTGGCACGGAGGACGTCTACTTGTCCTTCAGCTTTCTTGGACTGCAGTTAAGCTTCTATATGTTTTTGCAGAATTGCAGATACTAAAATTAATACTTAAGTAGAAAGCTTTACAACAAAAGATAAATAGTATTCCTGGTCCCTCTGGAATTGGGGGGTGTTTTTAGAGATGTGGAAGGAACAGTCCTGGCCCAATAGGTTTGGGTGACTCACTAAGAGCAGAAGTTTTGGTGCTCCTCCAAGGGCTCAGATTGGCTAAACAATTGGGTTTCCAACGGTTAGAAGTGAAGGGAGATTCAAAATTGGTACTAGGTTGGATGCAAATAAACAGTTTGGGCACTTGGTCCCTTAGACAGCTTGTAAGGGAATTAATGTACCTAACAAGGGAACTTGAAGCACATTTTAAATGGACTAGGAGGTCAGCAAATGGAATGGATGACACCTTAGCAAAGCAAGGAGTTAGTAGGGAAAATATTTTCTGGGCATGTTTGTAAGTTGTTTTTATTTTGAGGAGTCACCTTGCCTATGAACGTGACAGTTGTACTAATTTTCCTTTAAGATTAATGAAAGTTGTCGTTTCCTATCAAAAGAAAAACAAAGCCTCTGTTGCCCATGAAAACACCAGCTTCATACAAAACATGAAGGTTAATACGTAGTTTAATTGGTAAAACACAACTGGTACCTTCCAAAAAAAAAGTTCAATCCTTGCAGAAAGGTATATCAACTCAACTGTGAGCACCAGCACCTGCAATAAATAGAGTCAAGACAAATTCAAGTAAAAGAAAAAAAAAGTATTTAAAATCATGCTTAGCAGCATTAAACAATGTGCCATGAGAAACCAAACATCCAAATATATAGTGTTTGAAGTAAAGAACACCGTTACAACCTTCATCAAATCAACACATATATCAAATCCCTCTCTCTACTTTATATAGAAGTAGCCATAACAAAGAGTGTTCCCCCTATCTCTCAACATTTCCCTCCCTCTCTCTCTTTGCAATAACAATGATCACATGGCTTTGTGTAGGAAATAAGAAACTCTCCAACACTACCCAAAAGCACTTCTTCCAACCAGCCTTACCCTATACCTGTAAATCAGCATCCTCTCTCTATTTCAATCTCCATCAACTTTTCTCAACACCATGGCCTGCTTCCTTGAGATCAAGCCATAAAGAAATAAAGAACCAGATTCCAGATTCTCCCCTCCAAACCCCACTCTCAACAATGAAGTTGAGTCAATATCAACTAATCTTGGATCAAACATATCTCAAAAGCATCCAAATGATAAGTCCGGAGTTTCAAACAGCTCATCCAGTTCCCAACTATTGTGTATAACACTACTGTTTTCTCTAGTGGGGTCATGGACCTTGCATTAGCCTCCAGTGGGATGTTGGAACCAATTACCTTCTGTTAGCCACTCTTATGTATCCAAAACTCCGCCTACAGCATCCACAGGAGATCTTGTTTCAAACTACATTGTAAATTCCCCTGGCACCAAATGTAATAGAAGAACAGCTATAGAATGTATGACAGGCTAAATTTATGAATCAAAAAATATGCCCTAAGGCAGACCTTCTGGTCAATAGACCAATACCAAATGACTTGTAGACCAAATATCAGCAGAATTACAAATTTAGATAAGTACAAAGAAACTTGCTGCAACTATAAGACATCAAAGAAAGAGCTCGTCTTCAAAATAATTACAAGTTCACTCCTACAAAAAACAACACAATATCATGGACCCAAGCAACCAATAATATTAAGGCTAAATTGATCATGAGAATAAATAAAACCAAAATAAATTAATGAAAAATCAAAGAGAACTTCTAATATATACTCATCCAAAAAGCACTAATGCTAGTATCTTTAGTCAGATTTAATTCCAGATAAGTATCTCTAGTCAGAATAAATCAAGCCACAATCAATATCTCCATTCCAATATATTCCCATCTGAAAGTTCAATTTAATTCCAGACTAAGATCAGACTAAAGCCTCAGTCCCTCCTCTGTGGAGACGACTTTAAAACTTTCCATAACAACCTAAACCTTTTATGAATTAGTATTCAAGTTAATCAGGCTTCTGGGTGGAGCACATTGTGCCAAACTTGACCACACTTGGTGACATTTTAGGTTCTTCATCTTCTGTGTACTTCTCATATCTTCCAATCATTGCCTCCATGGCTATCTAAAGAAGTTTCTTCTTCTAATTTAACTTTTCTGGCTCCTCTATGGATAATAATCATTTCTTACAACCACCATCAATAAAAACTGATACATTATATTGTTCAACGTTTGTAGAAGCATAACAGCAATTGTAAGATAAATCAAGAAAAAGAGAGTAAGAGAGGCAAAATGAGATAGGTTGGCCATTAACGATGGACAATATTGGCTCCTTAATGGAAACTGAAGTTGGATTGCTTAATATACCCTGGAATTTTCTTAATCCACTAAAAGACAAAAGGTTTGTTTGTAAAAATAGGTAAAAGTATGAAATTGCTATTTGATATGTAATGTGTGAGCAGGGCATCATACCTGTTATATGTAAGGAGAGAAGAAACCTGATTCATGCATTGCTTTGATTAAGTTTTGAAAACAGAGGTTACATGATTGAATCAAATATTCTACTATTGGACTCTAATTAATCCATCTATTAAATCACGTATTTTTATACCTGGTTCAAAGTAAACATATCTGTGTTGACTGAAATCTTAAACTGAAAGTTATAATACCAATCTTATGCATTAATTCAGTAATTCAGTTTATGTCACCTTAACTTAAGCAGCATTGGTATACAGAATGATATTATGTTCCACAACAATATTTTTAAACCCAGCTCAAAAGTAATAAATCACATAAAATATAATAACTCATTGGATTTAGACAACTTGGCAAAACCTGCAATACAAAGATTAGGTTTGTGTTTTTGAACTCTTCAATTTTTATTCTATAAAGTTAGACACTTATAAAAAAATCGATAATTTAATTTTGGTTTCACTTTGTTCTCTCCTTAGAAATTTCAGTTCCCCACCTACCTCACTCATCATGGCTTCAATTAAAGGATGGAAAAATTTATACCTCACCTAATTGCTGTCTAAACTCTAAATACGGTCTAACAAAAATGCAAATAAACCACAGCCTTTACAAGCATTTTTCAAAGGACAAAAAATTGAGGGAGTTATTAGAGGTTCAACCAAGGTTCAAAATTTTGATACATATCAGGCTGTATCGGTGGATACGTATCGTATCGTGGGCTTCCCAATACACCCCTACAGGGGGTGTTTCAGGGTCTAACCCGGTTCAGAGGGTAGACGGCCCTTAAACCGACCCCTCTGAACCATGTTGGAAAAAAAAATAAAAAAAAAAAAACAGGGATGTGAGAGTCAATACGGTCCGATACGCCCCTGTATCGATATTTTGAACCTTGGGTTCAACAAGCACAGAATAAAAATGAAAAATTGAGGGTTTTAGAAATGTTAAAAAGCAAAGGTTCCAGTTACCTCTAAACTCATGATCTAAGCAAGAAAATACAGACAATTAATTATTGGGCGCAATGTTTGCATGCAAACCCCACCAAGTAATAATACCAAAAAACAGATACTTTCCCTTTTTTATCAATACTCAGAAAATTTTCATTAAATTGATTAAAGAAGCCCAATAAGTAGTTGTGAGGGTTACAAATAGACACCAACTGAGCCCAAAACATAGAGTGTTATGTACCCCTTGTTCGGCTAAACTATCCACCTAACTGCTGGCCGATCTTCTAATCCAATTAATTTGAATCAACATATCCCTAGAGAGCCTTTTGAACCCCCTAAGATCATTCCTTAGGTGCCATGAAACTCCTTTACCTTTCTTTAACCAATCCACAACTATTTTGGAATCACCTTCAATAATTAGCCTCTCTAGACCCAATTCCTTTGCTTTCTCAAGCCCATAGACAGCAGCTAAGAATTCTGTTGATGCAACATCATCCCTGATAGCTCCTCCTATTCCAGCGGGGCCAGGATTACCCACACTATTCCCATCAAAATTCAATTTTAACCAACCGCAAGGCAGGGGAGACCAGTCCACCATTGCAACCTGTCTTTTAGAAGAAGATGCTGCTATATCCCCCCAAGTCCTAAAGAAATCATCAATCTTAAAGTCTGAAAACAAGTTGAGAGTCTTAACCCAGTGAGCCACTCTTAGAGTTATGACTTCATTCAGTGCTTCCTTGTTCGTCTCCATTTTCCCAAAGATTCTAGAATTTCTTTCCTCCCAAATTGACCAAATAGCTGCTTCCCTTGTGCATTTCCACATCAACTTACCCCTTTTAGTAAAACACCTACAAATAGAAGGGTTGAACATCCCTTCCAAGCTAACAGGAGAGAGCCACCTGCAACCAAAAAGTGAAGCAAAACCATTCCCAAATAAAGCTAACAAAAGAACAGGAAATTAGAAGATGATCTGCAGTCTTACCATTAAGCTTACACAAGCTGCACCATTGGGGGACAAGCACCAATTTGGCCTCTTCCTTTGAAGCTTATCATAAGTATTAATACAACCATGGTACACTTCCCAACAGAAAGCACCGACTCTAGGAGGGATGGGAGAACACCAAATTTCCTTAACAGGGAAAGAGGAAGGTGAAGGAGAGGAAGCTACAATGGAGTAAAAGAAGGATTTACAAGTGAAAGTCCTAAAAGACTCAAGGATCCAAACCTTGTTGTCCTTGCCCCCGACCCCAAGAACCACTAGATTCAATAAAAGGAGCAAACTGGTAACAAGGGGAATTTCAGACTCTCTAAGATTCCTAACAAAATCCAAGTTCCAACTTAACTCAGAAGGAGAGGAAGAGGACCAAATGAACTCAGTCATTGCCCTGCCTTTGAGTTTGAAGATGGACAAAGCATAAAGTGAGGGGATGATCTCCACCAAAGGGGATTACCCAATCCAAATATCTAACCAAAACCTGATCTTAAGACCCAAAACCAAGTCACACCTGATGTGATTGAGGAAAGCAGGAAGCCAACCTTGGATGGCTTTACAAGGAGTAGCCAAGGTAGCTCTTTGGAGACAACCAGCGTCTAGACCTGTTCATGGGCCGGGCCGGGCCGGGCTTTTACTGTGTATTAACAAATTTTTTTAAGGCCCGAGCCCGGCCCGACCATCGGGCCTACAACTTGGGCCCGAGCCCGGCCCTCAAAAAAAGCCCGAAGCCCGAGACTGGGCCCAGGCCCGAAATTTAGCCTATACTATTATTATTATTAATGTTGAAGCAGCTGAATAGAGAGAGAGAGAGATTGAAATTATAAAGAAAAGAATAAAATATATATATATATATATATATATTAAATTATAAAAATATATTTTAATAAATATTATATTATTTATATATTTTATATAATATATAAAATACATATTATATATTTTATAAAATATATAATACTGAGTCGGGCCGGGCTGGGCTCGGGCCGGGCTTTTTTGACAAATCCCGAGCCCGGCCTGAAACACGGTCGGGCTTATTGTGTTAAGCCCGAGGTCAGGCCCGCGGGCCTAATTATATGACCAAGACCAGCCGGGGTGCAGGCCGGGCTGGGCCGGGCCATCGGGCTACCCGGCCCATGAACAGCTCTACCAACGTCCATCCATTGTTTGACAGGCCATCCACACTTGCTATCACTTTATGCCAAAGCCTATTGCTCTCCCTCGGGAAGCTCCATAGCCACTTACTCAATAAAGCCAAATTTTTCATTCTAATGTTCCCAATCCCCAAGCCCCCTTCTGCCTTCAACTTCAACACCTTCTCCCACCTAAGCAAATGATCTTTCTTTCCTTCCCCAAACTCCCACGAAAAAGTCTCTCATAACCTTTTCCAACTTTCTCACAATAGCCAAGGGCATCCTAAAAACTGACATAAAATAGACAGGAAGGTTGGCTAAGGTAGATTTTAACGAAGTTATCCTCCCACCTAATGAGATGTAATTTCTCTTCCACCCCGCTAACCTCTTCTCAAACCTTTCTACCACTAGATTCCAAAAACTCAAAGAGTTGGGGTTGTCACCAAGTGGTAACCCTAGGTACTTGATCAGCCGATTTCCTTTTTCACATCCCAAATAACTTGCAATATCCCCCATCACTTCTTCATGCACATTAGTTCCGACCACCACACTTTTATTCCAGTTAATCCTCAAATTGGAGACCCTTTCAAACAGATTCACAACCAACTTCAAGTTTTCCACACCAACTCTTTTGTCCCCCTCACAGAAGACCAGAATGTCATCTACAAATTGTAAATGGGTTATACTTGGATTCTATCTCTTCAAACTGACCAGCCCTTAATCAAGTGCAAGTTATTAGCTTTTAAGATCAATTTGCTAAGCACCTCAGCTACCAGGGTAAATAAGAAGGGAGACAGTGGATCGCCTTGTCTGAGAGAATCCCTGCAAAGAAATCAACCACCGATCCATTGACAAGAATTGAGCAATGACTTGACTACAAGCAGCTTTTGATCCATTTGCACCACCACTCTCCAAATCCACTACTTCTTAGAATCTTAATCAAAAACTCCCAATCCATAAGATCATAAGCTTTCTCCACGCCCAACTTAGCCACAACTCCTCTCTTCTTGATCTCTTCTAAGCCTCAACACATTCATTAGCAATTAGGAACTAGAGCAATGAAAGTTGAGTTCATTCCCGGGCTGATTTTGCCCCTCCTATGAAACTCCCTGATAACTTGGATCAAGTCATCTCTGATCATCTCGCAACAGTCCTAGTAGAAAGCAACTGTAAAGTCGTCGGGCCCCAGTGCTTTAGATTTGTCCATCAAAAAAACTACATCCTTAATTTCCTCCTCAAATCTTCTTTCCAAGAACTCTACTTGATCATTTTCCAACATCTCCCAATCGAGACCTTCAATTGACCAACTTCCATTGAGAGGTCTACTTAAAATTGATTTGAAGTGATCTACAAAAGCCATGGCTATCTCAGTATGATCTCTAATCTTGGCCTCCCCCAAATACATCGAAGTAATTAGGCTCTTTCTCCTCCTACCATTTGCAATGGCACGAGAAAACCTCATATTACCATCACCTTCCATGATCCATTTCTCCCTAGATTTCTGTTTCCAACTAATTTCCTCCTGAAGGAGAGTAGCCTCTAATTCCTTCTTTGTAGACCACCTCAACTCTCTATCAGTATCAAACAGGGACCCATCCATCGCCTTCAATCATCTCAATCTAAGAAATCAAGCCTATATTTTTTTTTCCCATCAATCATCTCAATCTGGATGGGTAAGCCACATGTTTTCAAATATAAAGGAAGATGGCCCCCCATCAAAACTCTTTTGAAACAAGCAAATTGGCCAATGATCTGATGTGATTCTTTTCCCTGATGGAACTGCATGATTCACAAATCATACATTTATGCAACGCAAAATAAGTTGAATTCAACAAATACCTAAGTCTTTCTTTAATAGAAAGTTCAAATCATTCTAGTATCAATACAAATAAGTTGAATTCTGAGAAAGTATACCCAGTTGCCACAATGAAACATGTTGTCTTACCTAAATGCCCTCGGTTTTCTCATCTATTAGAATTTACCTATGTAATACCCAATAGAACCCCTTCTTCCACATCTTAGTATATGTGGTGACTTTCTTTGTACCAAATCCTATTACTAGACTTATGCCTTGATTAGTAGCTACACATGAAAGACAAGGTAGACCCATAGTTTTCAAGGCGCCAAGGCGAGGCTAGGTGACCATGGGGCGCCCAGGCACCCTTTTGAACTAGTTTTCTTTTTTGGATTTATATATTCTGCACTTACTTTTGTACTTGGAACTTGAAAGAACTGAAGGGGCAGAGCCCCTATTTTAGATCAACAAGGAACAAATACTAAAATAAAAGAAGAAAATGAAAAAGAAAAGTAGGGGGCGGAGCCCCTATTCTAGACCCAGAAAATCTGGTGAAAAAAATATTAAAATAAAAGAAGAAAAGAAGGGATGGAGCCCCTGTTTCAGAAACCAATGATGAGAACAAACAAAAGCTGAAAAAATGGAAGAAATTAAGAAAAAAAGAAGGGGGCGGAGCCCCTGTTTTAGACCCAGAAAAGCTGGTGAAAAAATATTAAAATAAAAGAAAAATATGAAGAATAAAGAAGGGGCGGAGCCCCTGTTCCGCTCCTGTTTCAGACACCAATAATGAGAAAAAAAAAAGCTGAAAACATGCAGGAAATTTAAGAACAAAAGAAGGGGGTGGAGCCCCTGTTTTAGTCCAATAAAATTATTCAAAAAACTTGGAGAAAAGATACAAAAAAGCTGAAAACATGCAGGAAATTTAAGAACAAAAGAAGGGGGTGGAGCCCCTGTTTTAGTCCAATAAAATTATTCAAAAAACTTGGAGAAAAGATACAAAAAGGAAGAGGAGAAAATGGGGCGTAACCACTGTTTTAAACCAGGAAACAGAGAACAAAACTAAGAAGAAGAAGAAGAAGAAGAAGAAGAAGAATCAACTCACCTTGACTTTAGAGGACTGTGTGGGAACGATGGAGGCTGTTGTTCTCTCATCTTCCTCAATTTGATACTTCGATTCTATCGTCAATGTGAAACCCTCGAAAATTAACTTTGTTTTTACTTTCCTCGATACAAAAGCATGATAACATGCAATAGGTTCTATTATAATAACTAAAACAACCAATAAAATATTGTATATTTTATATTTATTTTATTTAATAAATATTTATATAAGCATGCGCCTAACATAGTTGGCATTTGGGCGAGGCGTTCTTTGAAAAGCGCCTAGTCGCCGAGGCGACCGCCTAGGCATTGCCTTTAGATCAATAAGTAAAGAATCCCGGCTACGGATTTAAAGAAAATTAAGGAGAAGAGCCAAAAGAATTTTTCTTAAAAACAACTAAAGAATGGGTTTGATTACTTGAAAATAAAGTATCAACCATGGGTGACAATTATCAGTAGAACTAGAATAGGTACAACCAGTCATTGATACAGTTGACTGGATAAATGAGCAATGGGATGATTTAATGAAGGTAACCAGCTTAAAATTTTGTTGTTAATAGGTAATGTATTTGTGTATAGGACTTAATAGGATAGTTTGTATAAAAACAGGCCTATCTAATAGCATCATTATTAGGCATGCGGGATTGCAATTTGCTGATGAATGCAGGGCATTGTTTGATGGGGCATGTTCAATTAGAGAAGTTGGATGAACTCCTTTGGCAAATAGGCCGAGACCATTGACCTCTAGGGGTGGCCACGAGTCGAGCTTCTCACAAGCTATTCGAGCTCGGCTCGGTTTAAATCGAGCTTCGAGCCAAGCTCGAGCCTAATGAAGCTCGACTCATGAGGCTCGAGCCCAATGAAGCTCGACTCATGAGGCTCGAGCCCAATGAAGCTCGACTCGTAAGGCTCACGAGCTAAGTATAATAAATAAATAATTTTTTATTATATACACACATACATACATACATACATACATATACATATAAATATATAATAATATTTAATATATATAATATTTTTACTTTTTATGTATAATAGTAAATAATTTTTATAATTCTTATTTTTTTATGTAAAATAAAAACATTTTTTATATGTATAATAATAAATAGTTTTTATAATTCTTAATTTTTGTATGTAAAATAAAAAATATATATTTTTATATTTATAATTTTCATTTTTTAGAAAAAATGTAGTCGAGCTCGAGCCGAGCCAAGCCGAGCCGAGCTCGAACTTGCAAACTTTGAACCAAGCCGAGCTCAAGTTCAAGTCTCTAGCTCGATTCGAGCTCAAGCCTAACACAGTTTCAACAAGTCGAGCTCGAATAGCCAAGTATTCGGTTCGGCTCGGCTCGAATCAACCCCTATCTCAGTGTAGGTGTATTGGGTGTGTCACCATTTACTACATTTGATGGTGAGACACAAGAGGGTAGTCCATTGACCTTGAAGATAGACCTACCACACCTCTTACAAGGCCTCAAACTCAAACACAACAGATATTTGATGAGTTGAGTCTCTAGGTCCAAGTGAATGGGTCTCTAAAACCAAAATAATTACCCTAGCGAACTGGATAATAAGATAGAAAAACTTATTAACATTATGGTGGCTGA